TGTACAGAATATTCTATAAATTATATCTTTGAAAATATGGGCTTTTTTATCATTTTATAAATCCTGTTACGTCCCGATCCTGGGATGACCCGCAGCTTGCCCAGGGCTCACACGGGGCTGGGGCTCAGCTGACCATTAGCTGCCTGCCTGTGTGCTTCAGCTCTCCAGAATTCACTCTGCCCTCGGGGGCTGCCACCACATAGGAACTAAGATCCTGTGTCCGTCCCTTACCACACATTCTGTTGGCACCTGTGGCCAGCCTCCATTTCTCAGAACCTCAGTGCCCATCACCGGCCACCATGCCATGTTGCTTTTTGGTTACTTTCGGTCTCATGGTTTGTTTTCTTTTAAAAGCCTGTGGACTCCATTCCCACGTCCTGTGGGCATTTGACAGTGCTGATGGGTAGGATTCTCCAAACCAAATCGGCAATACCCAGTCTTTTCTACCTGTGATCAGCAGAGGGGTGGATCAGCCAGGTCCCTCTGCTCTCAGAGCTGCTCACCCTGCCTGCTGCACGTCTCTCTACCTCTACAGCAAGCCCCAAGTGTCTTCTAGGGAGAGCCAGATCCTCCACTCCCACCCACACTTGAACCCTCTGTGAATGTCACACACACTGTTCCCAGGACCTGTGTAACCGAGAGCCCAAAGCCAGCTGCTACCCCAGGTTAACAGGCCCTCAGGCACGGGCAGCGTCTGGACCCTGAGCTTCTGCTGAGTGGGAAGCAGCCACCAGGAAGACCTGACTACATGCTTGCTGCCCAGACAAGGCGCTCTGGCTTACCGTCCTCTTAAAGCTTTCCTGACAAGGTAGTTCCACTGGAAGGCATTCCGTTTAGTTGGAGAAGCTGATCTTTTAGAGCCAGACTTGTTCTTAAGGAAACCACCATGAGCGAGAGATGGCCATTTGGGAATGACTATCACGAGGCCAGGTTGTCTTCATGGTTTATGCAATTATAAATCCTAGATAAAAAACAGCCAGGAAACATGGTTGGGCTGCCCTTCATCCTGCTCTGCTCAGGGACCTCAGGCCTCCCCTGCCCCTCACCTTGGCTGGGCCCTCCTCCACTCTGGCTCCCTGACAGGACCCCTCTTGGTTGTTTTAATTGTCCTGCTGTGACTTAGTGCAGCTGAGAGGCCCCCTGGGGTTTGAAAACTGGTCTAATTTGGGTTTCTTTTATTCACAGAAGTAGGGTGGGGCTTCATCTGCAAATAGGGTAAGTTGATGGCCTAAGGAGAAGGAAGCAGGGCTCCTTGGGTGTCTATCCCTTTGTCCTATGCCACTCACTGAGCCAGTGGGGCTGCTCAGGAGTCCCCTGGATGTTGAGGCAGTCCTGGGACAGTGTGTGTGACATTCACAGGTGTCACTGCCATGTCTAGTAGAACATCTGCTTCATGTGCCTAGGCTTGGGAGGCTCTGCCCAGAAGAGTGGCTGCCACGGGCCCATCAGGACAGTAAGGCTTTATCGGGATTGAGTCATGGAAGAAGAGAAAGCTAACGTCTTGCAGTTAAGTAGCCATGTGGTGAGACCCTCCCGCACAGCGTAAGGGGGTTGTGGCTGCATGGTTTCAGGGTGCTCACTAAGGTCACAGTCAAAACCAAAACCAGCATCACAAACCATGAGGTTTAAGGGAACAAATGCTTTCAGTTTTTCCTTGTAAAATGTTCATTATTCTTGGCCGAAATATTTTTTAATAGTTTTTAGCTTTAAAGATAGGTCGTATGGCCAAAGATATTGAGCTGCACCAGGGCAGTGGTGGTGCACGTGTTCTGGGGACTCGCCAGGCCTTTGGCATGTCCACAGGCCTGCCTGTCCTGAGCGCATTGCCAGAGTCAGACCCGTGGGGCTCTGCGCTTCTTGTGTCCTTTGTCCTGCAGGGGTCTGGCTGACTCCATCGTGTGTGCTGGCCAAATAGGCTTCCTGTGGTTTGTTTTAATGCCTATATTTTGACAAGGAAGGACAAAACCTTTTTTTTTTTTTTTAAACTTTCATGACCTATACCGCCCAGTAAGAATATGTTACATAAAGAATATGTGTTTTCTATTTGATGCATGTTATTTTCCTGGTAAAATTGCCAAGGAGTCTTGAAAGTCCAGGAAAGGAAAATGTAAACGGATGCTGGTGATCATAGCAGCAATGTTTTGTAAAATGATCATCTCTCCTCTCCTCCATAGGTCTGGACAATTTTGTACAATTTGGTATCAGACTTGACAGATTTATTATTATTTCTAACTTCTTAGACTAAAAGCACAAAAATGAATATGAGGAAACCCTGGAAGCAATCATTATTGTCGGGAAGACTATGAAGTTGGGTCTGTCCTTTGATTTTTGTATGTGTTTTCTCTCAATTACCTACCTGTGCTGGCAAGGATGCTGTTTACGATCCAGTTGTATCCGTGTCTTCAAGGTTTGTCAGTACTCCTCAAAGCTGCATTCCTATTAAAAAAGGTGTCTTTGCCCTCAGATTCGTATTTAATTTTTGACTGTGGCCACCAGGCCCACCTCATCACCCAGCATCCCCAGGGCTGGCAGCACTGGGGGAGGCTGATCCGGAGGCTGCAGCTCAGTGGCAGAGCACTCGGCCAGCATGCTCGCCGAGTTCCATCCCCAGCACTGCACACACAGAACACACGCACGTCCAAGGGGGTTTCTTTGGCTGTGTGCCCATGAGGTCCAGCTGAATAAACTCCTCCTTGGAGCCTCACCTTCTGGGCACCTGCAGAACCCCCTTCTGTCAAGAGCCAATTCCCACACCTTGCCTTCTGCATATCCTGGTTTTTTGTTGTTGTACTGGGGAGTGAACCCAGGGCGCTTTACCCAAGCCACATCCCCAGTTCTTTTTTGCTGGGTTTCTGTTCTCGCTTGTGACTGAAAGGCTCAGGGTTTACTGAGCCAGTTGAACTGGGCTGACTGGGCTGTGCAAAATAACCCACAGGAGACACAAATACCTTTTTCTTTGGGGTCGCTGTGACGGCTCCTCTGACCTTAAGGGTCCACAGGAATAGAGAGCGAGAGCACGCGCTGACCCCTTTTATTGAGGAGAAGCTATTCAAATGAGGCAAGGGGTCAGTTTCAGGAGGCTGAGTCTATCTTCATGATGTCCACTGTCAGCAGGTTGACTGACACCCGGGTAGGCCACACCCAAGGGCACAGAAAGAGAAGGGGACACACACAAGGCACTTCCATGGAAGATTCTATCCTAAACAGGGCAAGGGGTTATATTACAAAGGAACAGGTGAGCGTAGCTCCACCCATGGGGCTATAGCAAGACACACCCATGCACGAGACACGGACCCTTGAACCCAAGAAGGGTGGGGAAAGCTCTGCCACATTTCTGTGACTGAGCACCTCAGCACCCAGCCAGGGAGTGTGACTCAGTCATGTGTAATGTTGGTCCCCCACACTTTATTTTTTTATTTTGAGACAGGATCTCACTAAGTTGTGGAGACTGGATTCAAATGTGTGGTTCTCCTGCCTCAGCCTCCCAAGTCTCTAGGATCACAGGTGTGGCCACTGTACCTGGCTATTGATTCCTTTGGACTGAGCTCAGAATCAATTGTTGACGTAACTGCAGGCACCAGAGTGGCCTCCTCCCGGCAGCCAGAGGAAGTCGATCCCCATTTGCTCACAGTTCATGCTCAACTTTTCCCTGTTGGCCCCAGAACCACAGATTACCTTCAGTGACTCACTGAAGTTTGTCTTCTGGAGCGCCCACCTCACTGCCTGCCTTCCCTCATGACCATGCACTTTTTAAAGAGTGTCTAACCTTGACTACAGCCTACAGCGCCACCAATGACTCCACTTGCCCTGCGGATGGTCCAGCAGGGGTCCTGACCTTTCTACTTTGTCCCAGGGACCTCAGCAGGGGGGGTCCTGGAAGCCCAAGGCCCTGCCACTGAGCCAGGCCATGCTATGGATCAGTAGGGGGTTGCCATGACAGGTCCAGCCTGAACCTCCAGCTGGCCCAGAGAAGAGCTTGATTTTCAGTTCTAGGGAAGATGGTCTCCTCGCCAACACCAGGACCCAAATCCATTAGCACAGGACAGTGCAGGCCAGCATGTTCTGCCTGGATATGACCTGAGGAGGCCTGTTCTCACGTGGCTGAGGCACATCCGTCTTCTCCCTGGAGGTCCTACAGCTTCTCAAGGACAGTCACCCAACTGACCTAGAGCTGTGGACCACCTGGACCTTGGGAGCCTGTGAATTCACAGGTTAGCACCACAGGCAGAAGTGGCTGGTTTGCTGGGGAAACACACAGAGCTCTGGAACAACTTCATTGTCTGTCTGACTCCACCACTAAGTATCACTTTCTATAAATGAAACATACGCCAAGCCAAAGTTTTGTTTAAAAAACAATGCTGAATCCAGAATAACTGAACTCAGGTTTGCTTCCTGCCAGAGCCAGGTCAGTGCTGTGACCTGCTCTTCCACTAGAGAGCCCCAGGGCACAGGAAAGGTGGCCCCTCCGTGGCAGAAGACCCAGCTCCCACAGAGCCCCACAAGCACTCTCATCTGTGATACCTGCACCAGAGGAAGGCAAGCCCACCTGCTGTTATGACCCCCAGCCACCCCCAGCAGAAAGAGGGTGCAAATCAAGAGCTTCCCTGGCTCTCTGGCAAGCACCTGGCATCTGCTGAGTGTCTGGGCAGTGCCAGGCACAGGGATATAGGCAGGGAGGACTGTGCTCAGGCTCCCGGCAGCAGAGGCACACTGAGATGGAAGTAGAACAGCAGAGCCCTCCAGCTACAATGCAAGCCCACTGCGCCATCCACTCTAGTACATACCAGGCATGGCAGTGTGCCTGCAATCCCAGCAGCTCAGGAGGCTGAGGCGGGAGGACTGCTAGTTCAAAGCCAGCCTCAGTAACTTAGCAAGGCCCTAAGCAACTTGGCAAGACCCTGTCTCAAAATAAATATAAAATAAAAAGAGCTGGGGACGTGGCTCAGTATTAAGCACTGCTGGGTTCAGTCTCCAGTGCCAAAGATAAATAAATAAATAGAGCAGAAGAGAATAAAAACAAGGAGAAGCCAGGCTTGTGGCTGCATCTGTAGTCAGGGGGCCCCAGGGTTCTGTGAGCTCGGGAACTCCAGACCAGCCTGGGCAACTTAGTGAAAAGAAAAGAAACTGGAAAAAAATGTTTTAATAATACGTTTTATTTACCCCAATAAATCCAAAATGTTATTCAAACACATAATCAGTATAAGAGAGGTTTTACAGGGCCTTTTTCCAGTCTACACCCAGCATGCATATTACACCAATGACGAGTGTCACCAGGGACCAGTCCCATCCCAGTGCTGCAGCCACCCGTGGCTTGCAGCTGTGACACTGACCATGGCTGTTCCACACCTAAAGACAGGGAAGCTGGACGCAGGGTGTATGCCTGGGATTCCAGCAATCCAAGATGCCCAGGCAGTTTGAGGCAGCCTCAGCAATTTAGTGAGGCCTTAACTGAAACTTCTTTCTAAAGGGCCAGAGGGCCCCAGGACTGAAAACCAAGGTGGGAACCTGCCCAAGGCCAAGCTGGGGTGGGGACCACCAAGGCAGAGGCAGAGGTGGGGACACCACAAAGTGCAGGTGGGACTAGGGCCTGGAGGTCCTGTGGCCACATGGAGCATCCTGGCTTTGTGGGATGCTTCAGGACAGCTGGAGGCCAAGTTGGGTCAGTGGGTCCCCTAGGAGCAGGAAGGACAGTTGGAGTGGGAAGTGGAGATGGCCATAGGCTAGAGGAATAGCTGGACTTGAGGCTCCTCTGAGCTCCACAGAGTAAAGGGAGCAGATTTCTGGTTGATTGGGGAAGGAGGGACCCAGCAAGACTGGGAGAAAGAGGAGAAGGAAGATGTGGGTCCCTGGGGGACAGCACCAGAGAGGCACTGTCCAGGGAGCAGCAGGCCAGGAGGGTGACCTGGCTGTAAGAAAGGGCAGCCAGGGGCCTCCAGGTGGGCTGAAGCAGGCAGCCTGGCCTGCCCTCAATCAGGTAACTCAGGGGGCCAAAGAAGACTGGCCCTTGTTCCAGAACTGCCCCAGAAGGCAGCCACACCCACTTCCCAGAAGGCGACCCACAGGCCCCTGAACTCCAAGGAAGAGGGACCAGGTGGGCTAGTCCACTGAGTTCTGCAAAGGTCAGCCTCACTCCCTCAGAGCTTTGAACTTGCCTTTTGTTCCCGGGACTCGCTGCCTTTCTGAACCCAGTCTAAAAATTACTGCAATTCTTGCTGGTATTAGTCATCCCCTTGTGACTGAGGCTTGGGTACGTAGATCTTTAAATCCTGCAATTATTTCTCAACCTCGGGTTTTAAGAATAAAAGTTGAAAATACAACCAACCAGTAGTGACCGGCTCTGAGTCTGTGTCAACAGCACCTTCTTCTGAAGCCTGGAGATAATTCACACTCTCCGTAATAATGAAGCCAGAGTTCAAGACAGGCCTTCAGCGCAGATAGGCGAGAGTCAGTAAGAGAACCCAGGAACTGAAATGCTCCTGTCTTCACAGCCCTCCCTCCACCCTTCTGGAGGTCACCTGCCCTGCTCCAACCTGTTGCTAAGGTAACTGTCCCAGGCTCTGTCCCTCCCTACAGGGAGTTGTCAACCCCCTTCCTGCCCTGGTCCTCCACCTTGGCCCCTCCAGCCATCTGCTCCTCACCTTTTGGCCATCCCCTGGGCCTAGTCACCTGTGCAGAAAGGAGAGAGAGGGGGGTCAGGGGAGAGGAGAACAAAGGAAGCCCAGGACCTAGAACAAAAGGCAGACTGCTCTCACTTTGGGGTACCGGGACACCGGCTGTGGCCCCCTTCTCGCTCCCGGGAGAATATGTGACCCCTTTTTAAATAAACCCTGCTTTATCTGCCTGCCTCGGTGCTTCTCCAAGGTTGTACTTCAACCTGTGGGGAGTAGGACTGGCCACCAGTAACTCTAAAAAGGCAGCCCCTTGGCGCTCCTCTGTTGACCCAGAGACTCACTTCTGTTACTGAGAGTTGCCCCACCTCCACAAGTGGTTGCTCAGTGCTATCGATTGTTTACACACTGAGCAGGTAACCTGATCTTAAGACTCCTGTGGGAAACAGGCTGATGAGAATGGGGCCCAGGCAGACAGGACCCGGGTTTCCTGCGACCACTTTCTCAACATGCTGAACAAACCTCAAGATGTCTGCCTTCCCTCAGCCCCAAACCCACCCACACCCTGTTCAAAGCACCCGTCTCACCCTCTGCTCCCAAAACACCAGGGTGTCACCCTGATCAGCGACCAGTTTGTGGGGGCCCTCTGGCCAGGAGGCTCCTCCCTGCTTCTTCACCAGCTCTAATCCCCAGAATCTCCTCTAGGCCTGCCCCACGGACAATCCTACAGAACACAGACTGAGTGTCTGTGTCCCAAATTCATATTGAAATCTCACGTCAAAGTGATGGTGCTAGGAAGCCGGGTATTTGGGAGATGTCTTTTTTTCTTTTTTTTTTAATATTCTTTTAGTTGTAGATGGACACAATACCTTTACTTCGTTTAGTTTGCTTTTATGTGGTGCTGGGTATTAGGTGCAGGTCAGGCTGAACCAAGTTGTCTGCAGGGCAGGCTGAATGAATGTTAGCTGCAGGATAACCACACACCCAAACCCCCCTCGGTCTGGTCCTTTATCACCTGTTTGTGTCAAGGCTGAACACTTCACCCCCTGCTCAAGGCTGAGCACTCAACCCCCACCCCCTGCTGAAGGCCGAACACTTAACCCCCCTTTGTGCCAACAAGGCAGCTTGCAGACCCAGAGACCCCATTAGATTTGGGCTATAAAAACTCCCTCCTGCCGGCCCCTCTCTCTTGCTCTCTCTCTCTCTCTTGCACTCCTGCTCTTGCTCTCTCTGTCTCTCTCTCTTGCTTCTGCTCTCCCTTGCTCTCTCTCTCCTCTTTTTCTTCCTCTCTTTTCTCCTCTGTTACACTGCTGCAATAAAGGTCTCTTAGTTGCTCTGAGTGTTGTGGTCACTTTCCTTTCATGGGTGCCAAAACCCGGGAAGAGGGTTAAAACCCACTTTTGGGTCCCTCTTCCGGAAGTGCCACTCACTGGTCGGCCTGAACCCATTTTCTTGACCGCCAGAACTCCATCTACCCGGCCTTCAACTGGTGAGTTTCCCCTTCCTGGAAACTCAATGGTGGTGTCGGGAGGATTTGACCGTTGATTGTCCGGCAAACCTCTTCACCCACCACGGCCTTTAAGGCCACGGTGGCCCTCAGGGACTCCTTCCTTGGGCAGATTGGACTCTTGGGTTCAAAATTATTCCCCTTCCCCTTCTCAGCTGGTAGTTTACCAGCATAGGCTTTGTAGGTCTCCCTCAGAGGACTGGTAACTGTTAGGTTGGTGGTGGTGACTTGGTGGCAACTTAGAACAAAGCAGCCCCCCTGCCCCGGGGGGGAAAGGAACATCAATCAGGTGCCAGCAGAAATGCCTGTCAATCAGCCAGATCTCCTGACTAACGCCTGTCAATCAGCAGGACCCCTTGGCCAATCCTGGAGTTCAGCCGACTCCCCTGACCAACTCCAAGGGGACAAGGGACCCTAAGAACACCTTTTCCTGACCCAAGCCCTTCCCTTCCTGCTGTGAGCCCCATAAAAGTCCAGTCCGGTCGAGCTTCCACCTGTCCAAGGGTTTCTCCTCAGACCCTTCCCCTGTCCGCTCTGTGGGTCTGATGGAGTTCCGCCCGGGAGTGATGTCTCAGTGAAGCTCAAACCAGCTGGGGAGAGCCCTCAGACTATCCAAGATCTGGTGAAAATGGCCTTTAAAGTGGCTTTGTCATCACTGAAAACAGGTCACTAAGAATTAAAGTCCCTCACAGGCTTTTTGGGATACTCACTCCCGTCTTCCCCTCTGCTCTACCTGTTCTATTGCTCAAGTTTCCTTGCTAGGAAAACCCCAAACCCCTTTCCCATTATTCTTTCCCATCTCCTTCCTCATTCTCAGGTCCAGAGCTGCTCTCAGCCCCGCCTTCCCCTCTTCCCCCTCCCTACCCAGGCCACAGAAAAGTCCTCACTGACCTTCTCCAGAATCTTCTCCATGGCTGACTTTAGGACTTTCAGCAAAAGAATCTCTACAAGAGTTCAGTGTAGATAAACTTCCTCTTTTCGTGTTGCCCTGTTCTACTTGGTCACTGGCTGGAAAAATCAGCACTCCAGGTGCTGGACACCCCCTTACTAGTTTTTCACAAAAATATGTGAACAGGGCCTCGGGCCTGGAGCTGGGGCTTCACAGAGATGGCTACATGTCTAAGATAAGGAAGTTACCAACTGGGCTCCATGGGAACAGCTGGAGGGGGAGGAAAGAAAGGGAAGGAAAAGCTCTCCCCTTCCCAGGTGTCCTTGAAGGGTTAACTTGCCCAGAACAGAGAAAAAAAAAAAAATATATATATATATATATCAAGCTGGTGTTCTCCAAAAGGTTGCGTGGTAATTTTAGGCTTATAAAAATAACATATTGGAGATTTATTTATATCATTTAACTTTCTGTAACTGGACCTGTTATCAATAAGATAAATATGAAGTTCTATACACTGGGTACAATTTAAATGTAATATCATATTGTGTTAGCTAGTATTCATGTGACTTCAAGCAACTATATATATACTTTATAAAATGATATTTAAAAAACAAAGATCAACTTCAATACTAAAACACTTTACCTAAGATTTATAAAGAGCCCTGCCTTACCAGAGATAAGGCTCTGCCTCCCATCTTGCTACATGTCAGAATGACTTTGCTGGCTGTTAAGTTCAAGACTTAAAATTAAATTAAAATGGCCAAGAAAACCAATATTTGGCTCTGGCCCTCTGAGTCAGTCTGAATCCAGGGAACAGGGAACTTCTCTAAAGCGCTTTGCAACCTGGGCCACATAACCTCCTGATCAGGGAGATTATTGAGACCACTGGAGAATGAAAAGCCAGTCAGTGCACTTGCTGTGAATAGGAGGGTCATTGGAGACAGGAGACATCCCTGATGCTTCCAAGGGAAGCCACATGGTCAAGCAAGACCTGGACCCATCCTAGCACAAATGGCACTAGCAGAACTAAGAAGCTGTTCTCAAGTTCCCCCATGACTGACCCCCATGGGAACTCAGCTGACTCTTAACAATAGATAGAAACAAAGTCAATTTTGACCAGCTTGATCTTAAACACCTACCAAAACCAGTTAAGCCAAAACACAGTCATTCCTGGGAGTAATGAAGGTCAAGAACAGCTAGAAAAGAGGAGACAGCAACTAGCCAACAGGCTCTTCAGTCAAGAATGGCCTTGGCTCCTTCCCCTCGCAGGACCCCTATTAGTCCTCTTTATCTTCTCCTAATAGGACCATGTCTATTAAATTGCCTACAGAAATTCCTGCAAGATCAGATACACAAATTCACCAACCAGTCAGTCAATTAACTACTTCTTCAAGACTACCAGCCCCTGATGCCCAAGACGGAGACCTACGACTCCTGACCCACTCCTCCAGCTCCAGAGACTCTGCCCCGTCTAAAACACTCTCTAACCCCTTTTTCCAGTTTTCACAACCCCTCTTTCACTTCCTAGGAATGAGAACTACTCTCCAGCAGGTCCACTCTGCTTGTTCTGCCTCTCTACAGCATCCCCACACGGAAGCGTCAAACCTAAGCTCCCCACACCTCAGGTGAGGAGCCACCACCCAGGCGAAGACCGGCAGATCAACTCCACCCACATGCCCAGGCTCAAAAAGCTTCGCTACCACTTACTTGGGTTGATACTTTTTCAGGTTGGAGAGAAGCCTTCCCTACCTCCAGGGAAACTGCTGACACCGTGGCCTCCATCCTCATCCAGCAGATCATTCCCAGGTTCGGACTTCCCGCCTCCATCCAGTCAGACTACAGTCCGGCCTTCACTTCTCAGGTGGTTCAACTAGTCTCCAAAGGCCTCAACATCACTTGGAGGCTCCCCATCCCCACCAACCCCAATCCCTGGGTAAGGCTGAGAGGCCTAATGTCATTCTCAGGATCATCTCACTAAACTCGCTATTGAACTCGGGCTCTTCTGGCCCAGGCTCCTGCAGTTGGCCTTCACCTGAATCCAGGCAGCCCCTAGAGCTCCTTCAGGCCTTAGCCCCTTTGAGCAACTCTGTGGGTGCCCTTTCTTAACCACCCAAAGCTTTCCCATCACTCCTCCTCGCTTGTGTCCTACCTGCTGTGATAGTAGGAGCAAATGTGACTCCATTTTGTTTTATGACTTCATCCTGTAAAACAACCAGGCCAGGTAGAAGGGTCCTGACTGGGGCAAGATGTTCTTCTCCTTTTGCTATAGAAACCTTTAAGAACATGAACTACCTAATGAGGCATTGTTTCTGTAACTAGGGTGACGGGGCTCTGTTTCTGTAACTGGGGTGACTGGGCTAACTGTGATGGGTTAGGCTTCCCTCCGCTTGACTGCACTGTCCCACTTCTGTAACCTGGCTGGCTTGCATTGGCTGGCCCCCTGAACATCCCTTTTGTGGTTTTCAGGCTTATAAGGAGTGCCCTTGCAACTGTTGGGGGCTGATCAGGGGAACAGCTTTATGTTCTGGTCAGCTGCTACGGGTGTGCTTCAATAAAGGCTCCATTCTATTATACGTGAGTGGTCTGGAAGTCAGTTTATGAAACCCTGGGAGGAAGCTTTAACTATAACACTGCCTAATCTCACACTTCTATGCAAACTCCTAAGGGAACATGCAGACCGGTGCCTTCCTGCACCATTCATTGCCTCACTCCCAGCATAAACACGAACTGAATTGGACCCTCTTCAACTAGATGACACAGTCTTACTTCAGGAACTGCATTCTCAATCGTTGGAACCTCCCTGGACGGGACCCCCTACAGTCATACTTACTACCCCATGGTGACCAAGCTCTTAGACACTCTCCCTGGTACCATGTCTCCCACCTTAAAAAGGCACCTGTTCCAAATGTCCAGTCCTGGACTTCCTCCACACCCACCAAACTCAAGGTTTTTTGCCAACTCTCTTCTTCTTTTACTAATCATTAATCTCTCTCAAGCTTTTATCTGAAAACACAGATGCCACTTCTACATCCAAGTGACACGGCACCAGGATGACACCACCCACTCTCAGTTTATGAGTCAAGGTGATTGTCCTTCCACTGGCTACGATCGGGCTGTCACCCTTACCATTACTGAATTCAACCAAGCCACCTCCGATACTTCCTAGAGCCCTGCTACAGGATCAATGGCTGATACCAAAGATCTCCTCTCAGAAATGGTTTGATGCCTTTGACAACCTATGGCTTCACGGAACTTTGTGGACTTACCCCTTCTGAGATAACTGTCTGTAGCCACTGGGTGTTATTTCTGGCTGCCCTGGTGCTCTCAGACCTGTCCCCCGAACATTCCTCCACTTTCCCTCCTAGGTCCCACGCCGCCACCATTGAGCAGAAAATAGCCATTGGATTTTACACCGCCCCCCATGTCACCTAGAAAAACAAAAAGGGAGGAATGTTAGGTGCAGGACAGGCTGAATAAGTTGTCTGCAGGGTAGGCTAAACGAATGTTAGCTGCAAGATGACCCATGCACTCAAATCCCCCTCTGTCTAGTCCTTTATCACCTGTTTATGTCAAGGCTGAACACTTCACCCCCCCTGCTCAAGGCTGAGACTCAACACCCCCCCCCCAGTCAAGGCTGGACACTTAACCCCCCTTGTGCTAACAAGGCAGCTTGCAGACCCAGAGACCCCATTAGATTTGGGCTATAAAAACTCCTTCCTGCCGGGGCCCCTCTCTCTCTTGCTCTCTCTCTCTCTCTCTCTCTCTCTCTCTCTCTTCTCCTTTGTTGCACTGCTGCAATAAAGATCTCTTGGTTGCTCCAAGTGTTGTGATCACTTTCCTTTCACTGGGGATGGAACCCAGTACCTCATGCATGCTAGGCAAGCACTCTACCATGAGCCACAAAAAAACTCCAGCCCTGGGAGATGTCTTAACTTGTGGGGCTGCTTTAACAAAATGCTATGAACTCCTGGGTGCAGGGCCACACCTGTGATCCCCACAGTTCAGGAGGCTGAGGCAAGGGGATGGCAAGTTTGAGGCCAGCCTCAGCAACCTAGCTAGGCCCTAAGCTACTTCGTGAGACCCTGTCTCAAAATAAAAAAGTCAGTAATGAATCATCCTTGAGTTCAATCCCCAGTTTAAAAAAAGAAAAAAAAAAAAAGAAAAACACAGAAATCGATTTCTCCTCATCCTAAAGGCTGAAGTCCACAATCGAGGTGTTGCAGGTTCAGTTGTGGTCAGGACTACTTCCTGATTCATAGATGGCAATTGAGGGGTGAGGACGTCTCTGAGATCCCTCTGAGGGATAGGGCCCTAATCCTTCGAGGCTCCCACATGTCCCACTTCTTGATGCTATTACCTTGGGGTGTGGATTAGAACATCAGGACCTGGGGACTTGGGGAGGCACCTCCCTCGGGTCCAGCAGATGCAGTTTTTCCTCATTGTTGAGCAGAACAGACCCTCTGGTTGAACACCAGAAGAAATTCCTGACTTGTGCTTAAAGACCACCTTGCTCAAAAAATATATCTTGAGAGGCAATGGCAGGAGGATCACAAGTTTGAGGCCAGCCTCAGGAACCTAGCAAGATGCTATCTCAAAATCAAATGAATAAAAAGCGCTGGGGGTGTAGCTCAGAGGTAGATTGCTCACTAGCATGTGTGAGGCCCTGGGTCCTATCTCCAGCACCAGAAACGAAAAAAGAAAGGCATTGGGGCTGGGGATGGGGTTCAAGCAGTAGCGCACTCGCCTGGCATGCGTGCGGCCGGGGTTCGATCCTCAGCACCACATACCAACAAAGATGTTGTGTCCACCAATAACTAAAAAATAAGTATTAAAAAAAAATTCTCTCTCTCTCCCTCTATCACTCTCACTTTAAAAAAAAAGAAAAAAGAAAAAAGAAAGGCATGAGGGAGCCCCTCAGCCCACAGCGCTGCTGCTATGGTGCACCAGGCCGGGAAGAGGCTGAGAGCCAGGGAATCTTGGGCTTCATGCCTCTCAGCACACAGTTATTCTGTGTTAGTCAGGGCTCTCTAGAGGGACAGAATCTACAGGAAGTATAATTATAAAAAGGGGATTTATCAGGTTGGCTCACACGACCAGAAGCTGGACAGTGCCGCCTGGCCATCTGCAGGCTGGAGAACAGGGAGAACCAGTAGCTGCGCAGTCCAAGAGGCTGAAGCCCCAGAACAGGGGGGACCAACGGTGCTACCCTAGTCTGAGACCAAAGGCTTCTGGAGAATCCCTGGGCGTCTGTGGAAAAATACAAAAGTTTTTCTATTTAGTTTTCCAATAGAAAACTCAAACAGATGCATGGACACAGGAGGACCAATCAATAATAGTGAGGATCACATGCACAGGGGAGGAGATAAGGAAGGGAGGAGATTCCAGAGACCATGAAAAGAAGAGGCCCAAACCCCCCCACCAGACTCCTGGCTCTGACGCTTCTCTCCCAGCATCCTCTCGGCCTCTCTGGTGACTGTGCAATAAGTCTACTTTTTTCTTGCTGTCTCTGTGCTAAAGCTTCGCATCTCCAAACCAGATTCCAAGCTGTTACATGACCCGCAGAGAAGCTGACTCCATCCACTGTCAGGGAAGACGCCCTGCCCAGGTTGTGGCCCCTGCCTGCCCACCTGCCTGGGCTCTGTGTCCAGCTCCTGCTGAGCTCGACTGCAGGGGAGGGCAGGACACTTCACAGGAAGAAAGCCAAAGGCAAGCAGAGGGTCTGATCTGACAAGGGAGGGAGCAGGGAGAAGGGAAGGCAAGACAGACTAGAGAGAGGACAGGCCAGTTTCAATCGCATGATGGGCTCCCTGCTCGCTGGGAGCCAAAAAAACCTGGATCACCGGATGCTGACCAAACTTCTACTTTCCTGTGGTTCCGTGTGTCCCTGTTCTGCCTCATATGGAAAGTCACTTTGAAATCACCAATCCAGGCAGGCACCGTGGTGCACGTGTGTAATCCCAGCAACTCTAGAGACTGAGCCAGGCAGAGCCCAAGTTCAAGGCCAGCCCCAGCAAGTTAGTGAGGCCCCACGCAACTTAGTGTGACCCCATTTCAATTAAAAAATAATAGGGGCTGGGAATGTGGCTCAGTGGTTACACATCCCCAAGTTCGATCCCCAACACCAAAGAAGGGGGAAAAAAAGACCAATCTATTCTTTGTGATTTGTTTCTGCTTCATTTTTTAAAAAATATTTCTTTGTTGTTGATGAACCTTTATTTTTTATTTATGTATATGCAGTGCTGAGGATCGGACCCAGTGCCTCACACATGCTAGGCAAGTGCTCGGCCACTGAGCCACAGCCTCAGCCCCTCTGCTTCATTTTTTAAAATTTCATTTCTTATAGTACTAGGGATTAAATTCAGGATTTTGCACACATGAGGCAAGTGCTCTACCACTGAGCTATACCCCTTCCCTTTTTATTTTGAGATGGGGGTCTCACTAAGTTGCCCAGACTGGCCTGGAACTTGCCGTTCTCCTGCCTCAGCCTCCCCAGTAGTTGGGAACCCAGGAATGTACCACCTGTTTCTGCCTCTTTCAGTCCTTCTGTCAGTGAAGCAAGCTCCTTTGCTCGGCTCACTGGGACACTCCACCTGTTTTATGGAACGAATGTGCTGCCTGATTCTAGCATTAAAAAGAAAGCCAAATAAGATCCTTGAACTACATTGTTGTGATTCTGGGCTTTGACACCCAGAAGAAGCCCTGCCCAGGTCTTGGCCCCTGTCTGCCCGCCTGCCTGGGCTCTGTGTCCAGCTCCTGCTGAGCTCGACTGCAGGAGACAGCAGGACACTTGGCAGGAAGAAAGCTAAAGGCAAGCAGAGGGTCTGATTTGAGAAGAAGGGAGCAGGGAGAAGGGAAGGCGAGAGAGGAAGAGAGGATCTGGGTGGGTGTAGCAGTAGAGCTCCCCACCACCCGCCCCCCTGCCATCCACATCGGCAGCCCTGGGAAGCGTGGGGCGCTCTTCCTAGCTGAGGAGCACACTCGACTTCACACAGAAGGTGGCCAGGCCACCCAGACGCTGGGGCCTGTCCTCAGACACCCCATGGGGGACCACAGACCTGCACCACCATGCCTGGTTTCTCCTTTATTTGTTGATTTGTATTTTGCGGTTGCAGAGGCACGGATGCCTGCACTTTATTTGTTATGTGTGCTGGGCTAAGAATGGAACCCAGGGCCCCCCACATGCTAGGCTAGCGCTCTGCCACTGCCCCAGCCCCAGCCCTTTGCTTTACTTTTAAGGCTGAATAATAGTCCAT